GGGTTTCTACCTGATATAACTTTCCAGTCGGGTAGTGGGTCACTGATGATTTGTCAAATACAGTTTTCCATCCGCTTCTGTTCCAGCCTTACGCTCGCTTTAGACAGAGCAGGTTTTGTGTAATGTGTTCATGGACAAATGTGGGGAACAGTGTCTATAGCTTTACTAAACCAAGACCTTGCAAGCTTCAAAACTAGTGTAGAGAATAGGGAAGCCAAGTTTAAAAAATGGAAATCGTGCTGCTTCCCTCATTTCCTCCTGGAAATATATCTGCTAAACTTGTCAATAGCTAGTCTTCATTTCATGATAGTATTCAACCTCTACCTGGCTATTGGGACTGCCTTGGTTATTCCTGTGTAACCTTGGGATGCTTTCATGACTAGAAGTCCCAGTTGCTTCCCAGAAGAACATATTGCACCATGGCATAGCTAGAGAAGCAATAGTAGAAACTAGCATTGATTGTAAAATCAATGCATTAATTTACGTAGTTATACTTAATATTCAATGGCGGTATAAGTATAAAATTTTTATTAATAGATGGATGATTAGCAGTAACAATATACCTGGAGCCAGAATAATATTTTGTGCAACTGGCATCCAGGTGCAGCTTTTAGTGCTTTGTTGCTATGGACGTGTTGCTCTGTAGCACATACGCTAGTATTTTGCTGTGTGATTGAGCCCTGAAAAACGTGGACTGTTTGTAGAAGATGTATTTAAATAATTTTGATTAATAATTCCCCATCAGAATTGGAAGACACATGGATGGTGAAATGCTCACTCTGTTAAGCCATGTGTGCACTACTCTGAGTCAGGATTTCACTTGAACATCTGTGTTTTTAACTGCAGTGTATCTGTATGTTTTTCTAAAAGGGGAAATCCATGGGGGAAGACTTTCAGTAATTATGTTGTTATTACTCCATAATCTCTTCCTTTTCTATTAACATTGCTGTTACTGTGTGGTGTCTGGCCTGTGGAGAAAGACCAATGCTTGCTGTGTAATGTGGATAAAAGTTTTTAAAAGGGCAACAGAGGTTGTCTAGTAAAAAATATCTTGTAAAGAGGGATTGATATTCATATTAGCTGGAGATAATGTTGGAAAAGAGGCTTTATGAAGGCCTTTGTACTAAGGTATTGCACACTGGTTCATGAGCAGATGGCAGCCTTCTAAGAGAAAGCCTAATCAGGTTATTCTATGATTTTCATTTTATGATGTTTTTATAACCTAGTATTATCTGTTTATTGTGTAATCTGGTAGACTAATAACCTAACAAATGTCTGAATTTGGGGAATTATCTGCTTGTAGAGTAGACTTTGGTATATTCACATAAAAAACATTATTGATGGAAATCCACCTATTTAAGATACTGAAGAGTTCATTTGCAGCATTTTAATAAATAATGCAATTTTCAATGCAGGAAAGAATTATTTAATTCAAAAACGTTGTCTTAAATATCTTAAAAATGGTATCCACTCTGCAAAATTTTCTTCTGAAGGTCTGATTCATGTTCTGCTGATATTAACAGAGTAATTTCCATAAGCTTTAGATCAAATTTAGAGATTATTTGCACCAGATATTTTTACAGTATTTGGACAATTCAGAAGGCTGCCAGTAAAAATTCCGGAGTGTATCTAAGTGCTAAATTCTGGCTGCAGTAAATGGAAGTGGTGAAAACCTCATTAGGTGCCTGTTTACATGTGCAGATACTTAGAACTGGGTATCTAAAATGACTTCTCTCCATCATTGCTACCTTTTCCCATCGATCCAAGCCTTTGGTTAGGCAGCATGCCATAAACGTAGCTTGTAGTTTCAAAGGCCTGACTCGCCTTTGCTTTCAGATCAGTCTGTTCTAGTGTCTGGCTGGTTTTTTTGGTAAAGAAATGCTTGTAGGACATCATAATACTGAATCCACCATTATAACTGCCTACCCCTCGCAGACATGTACGTTGCTGTTTCCATATTGGTTGCTGTTCCCTACAGGCTTCCACTGAGCTCCAGAGAAATTTTAAAAATTCTTCTATTAAAATGTATGATTTAAAATGTTCCTTTCCTCATGCTTAAGGAATCCCGAAGGATCAGTCTGCTTAGTTTACTTGCTGGTTGCTCCCGTCTTGAAAATGTTAGATTGAGTTAAGTTCGATATAGCTTTAAAAAAAACAGTATTTATATTTTTCATGAATTCAGTGCTGGGTATGAACTACTGACAGGTCCACTCAATCTGCTGCTGCAATCTTCCTCAAGTATGCTGGTAAACTGAGCAGCCGGGAATCAGGTTTTCCTTGGAACGTTAGTGTGGTGCTGCTACAATTTAGAAGTTATATTGGACAATGAAAACAAACAATAAACTCAGGAAAAGAGGTCAAACCAATTTTAGGGTGGTCTGTGCAGCTGTTGTGCAAAAAGTGGCTGCAACCCTGGTAAGGGCTGGGGCATGAATCTTCAGATGGTTTAGAAACATTGGAATTAATGAATCCTTAAAACGTAACTAATTGATTTTCCTGATGCACATGGCTCATACTTGATCTAAATAATACTCCCAGAGTTTGCAGCCTTTGAAGGCTTGTGCCTTGTTCTGTACCTGTCTTTAGTTAATGAAGTTGAAACATTCAATTTTTCACAGAATTATTAAGATACCAATAACTCATTTGGGGGTTTCTAATTTAACACTAATCACTATGTAATTGATGACCCCAAAGAGTTCTCTTCGGTAGTTTCTTTCTCTTCTAATTCTTTTTTCTATAGAAATTAACATCAAACTTTTCACACTATTTTGAACATGGAATTTATAATGTTTAGCCCTTCTGCACTGATTGTTTTAGATTCAAATATACTTATATTTATTTAATCTTTAAAATTTACTTACATTCCAATAAATATCTGTGTATTATATTTTTTTTAAATCTTCATTTTCAACAATTTTCTCAATGAATACATTCTAACTTCCTTTGCTTTTTGATTAGTTTATAAGTATAATGGTTTAATTGTCAGATTTTCCAGCCAGTTTAATATGGACAGTAGCAGTGTGCATCTCACCAGTATTCAAGGATCACCTTTAAAACTTTGGGTAGGGGTGCAGCTGGCATCAAAGCAGTTTGAAATATATTTCAGCATTTTCAAATGATCCTTTACTGCTGTTTCCTTTAGAACTAAAGTAGAAATGAATGTAAATGTCATTGTCTTTTAATATTCAATTATTAGCACTTCATTGGAATTTTATCTTTATTTGCTTTATCAAATGTTGTATTAATTGCATTTTATATCCCCACTGTAAATCTATCACAGTGTCTTGATTAATTTTCCAAGTCAATTAAGCTAGTACAGGTTCATAACATAAAGCAAAAAATCATACTGTGATTTTTTTTAGTAGTTTTTATTATAAAACTGTCAATAAAGATAATGTAAACAAGATCTTTAGCTGATGTACAATGACTGATTTCAGAGCTGAAAATATAGCCTTATATATCTTTCAGGAGGTTTCTATTTATTGGTATCTACTGATAGCTTCATAGAATTTTGGTGTTCTTTGTATCCACATTAGAAAATTGAAGTGATATGAATAAAATACGCACAGCCTTTGAACACTATGTTCTCACTGTAATTTTCTATGCCGCCTCCTACATATAAAAACTAGTATGCTACAGCAGAAGGAATGTGTGATTTCCCCTATTGCTTTAAATGCTTTTTCAAAAGCAAAATAGTTGTGAATTATTAATGTTAACCACACCATGCCAAAAGAGGAGGAAGAAATGCAGGAGTGTTCATTATTGATTGATCAGTGCACGAATACTTTGACTTAGCACTGACTCTTTTTGAGGCCTATTGATGTATGAACTTGTTTCATCCTGTATAATAATTTTATATGTTGTTTCAACCTCATGCTCAAGGATATGACTAATAGCACAACTGAACTCAATGGGGCTGCTCATCAAGTAACATAGGTGAAGGTAGGATTTTTTTGCTCCAAGTCTTGCATTCAGATTTCCAAGTTTGTGCCTGTCCCAGTCGGCATTAGTATCACCTCTTCACTCCACAGAGTTTCCCTGAAACTCTACGTGTTCTTTTATTCTTATCTGGTTTTTGAACTTCCTGTGTCCTGTTCAGTTAAGCCCTTAAATTTTTACACGTTGTCTCTAGATTAAACTTTTGTCTTGTATAGTCAAGAAAAGATGTTCTAATACATGTCAAATGCAAAGTAACCAACCCTATTGCAGTGCAAATGGGCAGTGCTGCCTACAAGAGAGTTCATAGAGATATTTGTTATGTAGCAGCCTTAAGCAAGAATAGACTTGTGTTATACAATGCCATTTATTGACTCCTTCAGGCCTACGCCAGTGCTAGCTGCAGGGTTGTGCTTTCCCACCTGCTTTAGATTAAATGAAAACTCTTCCCTCCTTATCTACACACAAATTGTCTGTGTATATCAAATTAGGCTCTAACTTGCCAATGCTCTTGTCTTGCGATAATTAGTGATGCCATAAATACAGAAAGTTTACCTTCTGAGGTTCTGCTGCCTTTGATTTTTACTTTTTTTTTTCGCTAAACTATGTGTTGTTATTCCAAGTGTCATTCTTTAATAGGCTAGCTTTCACTTGTTGAGAAGGTTTTCAGTAAAACTGACTTTGCAGCATACTGACGTTTGCCAAGACTATCGTCAACACATAACGATGCCATTTGCAGGCTATCGGTCTCTGGTGTTATTTGCCATTTCTTCTGTAACTTTTTATTGCTGTTTAATCTGTTCTAGTTTCATATGTTGTAGCTTTCTGCATGTCACCATAAACACCTTACATGATCTAAATGGAGAAAAGGCTTGGAGACATCAAAGATCTTAAGTATTACTTGTGAACATGTTTGAAACCAGGCTGGTTTTGATTTCCTAACATCTTGATTTACATGACCAATGAATATTGTATCAGTCTGTCGAGTTTGAAGTGTTGTATGGTTTTTGCTTAGTGGATACCATTCTTCTGGTTTCAACATGATCTTTCTCTTTCCTGAATAGAGCCATCACACTAGAAAATCAGCTGGTGATCCTTGCAACATCAGTGACCGATGCAGGAGGCTACTATGTCCAGGCAGTCAATGAAAAGAATGGGGAGAACAAGACAAGTCCATTCATTCATCTCAGCGTAGCACGTGAGTATCCCAATTCTGAATAATATGCTGTCATACTGAGGTGGCAGACAATATTCACAAAAGTCTGCCTTAATAAAAATAGCCATGCTAACAAAGGATTGGATCTTTAAAGGAGGTCAACTTTTCCTGGTTTTTTTGGAACACATTGAACATCTTGTGCAATAAGAGGGACCTAAGCATGTGTGCCCTGGGCAAATCACCCTCAAAGACTTTTGTCTGATGGTTTATTTCGTGCAAGGCAGGAACATGATGATATCCCTTGCTGTTTGTTGTGAAATTGTGATCATAATTTCTTTTTAATGCAAGGGCTTGTAATGTCTTGTTTTCCACTGCGCGTAAGTAAACAAGTCACTCTTCTGAGTGCAATTTTATTAATGATTCTATTCCCAGTCTATGGCATTATTTTTACCTGCAGTTGTCACAGGGTCCCAGGGAACATGCATTTCATTGTTTTTACTTATTATTTTACCTTGCACAAATTGTATTAACACCTACCATTACAGAGATATTCCATGAGTAGATTTTACAGAAAAGAGGAGGGAAAAGCAGCAGAGCAATGGGGTCAGAAAGAAGACTGCACACTAAATAAACTGACGTGCATGTTCAGCAAAAATATGCCCATGTAAACTATTGTAAAACATGTAGTAAATGTGTTTGTATGAAAAATTTATATTCTAAACATGTAGAATGGTTTGACTCCTTTTCTGAGGGTGTTTGGTAAAGGTGTTTTTAATGTAGCAGCAAGACAGGGAGTATGTTATTCTGTTGTGTGAATGTAGAGGCTTCTATTTTTGATTGTAGAGATGAGGAAGAGATGACTGGGTAAATTGTTGATGACACTGGCAGCTTTACTGACAGGCTACTCTTATGGCTTGGGCTTCTAGAAGATGCAAGACTCTCATCTCTAGATCAGTTGTCATGACGAGATGCCTGGGATCTCTTGGTCTTGGCTACCATTAGTTTTGAGACAATCCCTATGGCTCGTTTCCTTGCAATAGCAAAACTTGGGAGTCTGGGTTTCTGGGCAGGACATCTGGCAAATTGCTTTTGGAAGTATGCTTATGTTTGTCAGAAGTTCATCAAAAACATTATCTTCCTGTGAAACATTTAATTTCTAAGAAAATAGGATTTTTCTGCTAAAATTCCTAACCAGATTTCAAAGAAAGCTGTTGTTATACAAGGGATGGAAACCCTGTTAGTGGGATCAGGGGTCACTGAGGGCAGAAGCTGTATGGGGTAACAGCAGAAGAGACAAACTTGTATTTTCTTCCAGATATATTTATAAACTAAATGAACTTCTCAGGGGGTTTATGTGTATCTTTCTGAAGTGGAAATAATATTCTAAATCCACTTGTGAATTCTGGCTGTACCGTGGCATGTAGATTGTAAACATTATTATTTCTGACAGTGTAAAGAGGTTTGCTAACACTTTAGTAATTTCATTTTTAAAGCAAATTTGTATTGTTTGTATTATGTGACCAATAATGTACTTCCCAGTTTAATTTCATATCTTAATTAATGCTAGAAATAGTCTGTGATCATGCATGCATAACAAGTGCTATGCAAAGCAGAAGGTAATATGGGCATATGGAAAAGAAAGCGCTTCAGAATGTGTACGGTCTTGATGCTGTGAATGCAAACTCTGTCTGGAATATGAAAAATAGGAAAGATTAAAGGGATAAAAGAAAATAAAGAATGAGGCAAGATGGAAAGCCAAAACCGGATTTGCTTCTTAAAATGAATATTAGCCAAAGAAGTTTTTAAATTGTCATCTTGATATCCAGGTTTGCTAGTGCTGTGTGCGTGTTGGAGGCAGGCACTGGCCATGAGGCATTACGGTGTCTGTAAAGAAAATGAGATTAACATGGTCATTCTGAACTTTGATCTGAGGAAGAAACATATGTGATACATTCAATAGAACTGAATAAACCTTTTGGTCCAGTAACAGAAAATAATCAGGCAAAAATATAGTCCTGAAGCAATATGAAGAGAATGGTTGCAGAAAAATGATGTATTTTGGAAGAGTAATAAAGAATTTCAGCAAATGGTTGAAAATAGATTGTTAAAGGTACACCCAGGTATGAATTGTCACTGTCTGAATTTTATCAGCTGTTAAGAGTGATGACACTTGTCATTTTCTGTTAGGACACGTATAAAATTTAAAAACAGTTTAATCAAAATCAAATAAACCACAAGTAAAGTGGAATGTCCAATCTCTGTGTGAGTAGATTATATATTAATTATTGAGTACAACCTTGCTGCATGACTCAGCATGCATATTGCCACTTTGTTGAGAGCAAAAGGGAAAAAAAACCTACAGATAATTCCCAAGGCAGTCATGCACTGAGAACAGTGTTAGATATGCATACCTTGTTGTTCCTTGAAGGATATCGGTGTCAAGACTTGCTCCAGCCTGTAGGAAAAGCACATTTGCAGAATAAGTCTAACAGCCGAGACAGCTGTAAGCTGTCCTGTTCTGGGCCGAAATACAAGACTGCCAGTATGAGAAAGGTATAGCCCTGAGGTAAGCAGAAATTGAGTTATAGGGCCTTACATCGCAGACTAAAGTCAATGCCTTGAATCGTGGCTAGAAGTAAATAGAGTTTGAGCGACATCTGGAAAATGTACTCAATTGACCTTCAATTAATAACTGTGCTTGATACATGGTGAATAAGAAGATTTAAGTATGTTGAACGTGTTTCAAAAATCTGGTCTAAAAAGCCCAATTGCGATGAGTTCTGTAGTAGAGCTCTGAGTATCAAAAGTAAAGATGTTTTGTTTCTTGTCAGGCTAGCCTATAGCTCATTCGGTGCCAAGTGGCATGAACTCTTCCATCCATCCATTGACCCCTGATGACAAATGTAATGCATGAAAACTTCAGAAGAAAAACTTCTAGCTTGTCAGCATTGCTTCTGCTGTGTTTGGGTTGACTTTTCTCTACATTGAGGTTCGCCAGATGTTGAAAATGTAGGCGTGAGAATGCCTGCGTTTAAGGAAAATTAACAGACCTTTAGGGCATCTTGGTATTTTCAAGTAGGTAGCAAGTACACAGTAATGTGTGACCTTTCATTCCATAAACATGCTTTGCAGGAAAGATGTATTAGCCAATAGATATAGTCACCCTGTGAGAAGATCCAAATGTTGAGCAGTATTTTTCCTTGATAGTAGAGTTCCTAGCTTGGTTAAACACTGGTGTTCTGCATGCCTACACTCTAAAACCATGTGTCTTAATTTGGAAGTCCAGGTCACAACATGAGGTACAGTCCAACTATGCTTGAAAACAATGGTCATTTCTTTCAAGTGGACATGTTTCCGCTGATTTCAAGAAGATTAGATCATCTCTGAGGTGACAGACTCTGGTGAAAGAAAAACGATGTCCAACAGGCAGCATATTGGGAATAACGTCATATATGAAATTAGTATGAGATGTCATAAATTAGTCCTAAATTTAACATGTCTTAAAATCAGTTGAACTGTATAGTAAGCTAATGAAAATCTTGCCTTTTTTTTTTTTTTTTCCCCTCTACAGTATGTCCTAGGTTTCATGTAAATAACACAAAATTTTGGCTAGGAAAATCAGAAAGTCTGAAAGTCAAGAGTTTGGCAACAGAAATAGGAACAAAATTCAGTTTGCTTTTTGACTCAAATACATCACTCCCTGTTGAAAATTCACTATTACTGTTTTGGAGGAGTTCAGTATTAACCCATTGCTGGAACTTCCCAGCTTAACCAGAGAGGTATGAGAGTTAATATATCGCTGAACTTCTGAGATGTAAATATTACTTTTCAATAAAAACGATTAGGAAATCCTCAATAGTCTTTCCTGTTTCCATCTCTTCAACAATAAATTTGATGATGACGTCTTAAATGGATCCTTAATTCTTTAGGCTTTTTCTTTTGTGCCCATTCTCCCACAGAGAGACATACACTGCAGCACAGATGGTCGGTTCTCTGCCTAAAGACTCTGGCTTGTCAGGGGGATAAAGTGACATGCTTTTGATCTTACCAATGTTGGCAGGACACTTAAAGATCGAAGTGTTCATTAAAGTAAGGCCATCATATAACTCGTATTTCCTTGAAAGCCATACTCTTATGTATCAGCTAAATTTCTCTGAAACTGCACCGAACCTCTTACAGTTGTAGAATGGAATTTAACGTGGGGGAAAAAAAAAAACCAACCCAAAACTGATGCATGGTACTTTGCTGTAGGCTGTGCCACTTATGCATGAAGGTGGTTTTTTTGGGAAACAGGGAACAGGGGTGTTAAAAGTTCTTAATGAAACTGTAAGGATTTCTAGTATATAAATCAAGAGTTTAAGAAGTGGTGTTTGAGGGGGGGGGGAAGATTCATAGGGAGCTTTTCATTACTGTAAGGAGCTGGCTGAGATATTTACCCCAGTGTACACAATGCGTGTCCTTGTTACTTTATTACATGATGACATGGCAAGATTCTGGTGCCACTTTAGAAGAATTTTGAAAGGCCCTGCTGAGATTTTTCTATTATTAACTTCAATGCAACGCTGTAGATGTGAGCACCGCTGGCCCAGTCTTAGAAACTTTTAACAGTGAGTACTGCTGTTTCTGAGTTTAGTTGAAGTATTTTATGAAAAATATGAGAAAGTGTCCCCCAGTAAATGATTTAAATGGCAAGTTTGCAAAAAGGTGGGTATGTGTAAGCTGTTCTGACAGCTTAGATATTCCTGCTTCAATTGGTTTTGCAGCGCTAATCATCTGGAACTGCAATTCAGGGCCTTGCTTCTGGACCTTCTTGTTAAGCTGTGAAATGTCACTTCGATAGATTTATTAGTAAATTAGATAGTCTCGAGACCTATTCATAACACTAGGAGATACAGAGTGTTCTGCAGACTGATGTCTTTCTGATGCAGGCTTTGTAAAAACAGAAAACAAGATTGATGAAAATTTTAAAAACCTTGCCAACCAGCATTTCTGAAGAGTTGAAGATAATAAAACCAATTATCATTTAACAAAGATAAATTTTT